CAAATGCGACTTCCTCTTGCTGAGCGCACGGTGGATATGCACAGAGGTTATTGTCAACTGCAGGTTGGCGTGTAATTTTGGGGGCCTTACTGATTAGAATAGGGTTTTGGGGCCCATTGTACTATAATTGTAATAAGGAAGGGGTTCAGGGTTTAGGGTGTTTTAAGCCCCTCCTTGTTGCTTAAACCCTCTTCTGGTAGTGCTCATCGTAAGCATGGTCTCAATAGTCATCGGTAAGACCTCTGTGATAATGGAAGAGAGCAGTAATGCAAATACTACTAGTAAGAATTGTAAACGCCACAATAACAACATTGGGGGAAAAAACTTAGTGCGAATAAGAAAACAATCGTAATCACAACAGTACGCCACACAATAATGACAATGGTGGTAAACATATTGAGAATAATGCCAGTCGTAAGAACTGCTGTAACGACAGCAATACGTTTAGTGACAACAGTAATGATGGAAAAGTATCAATAACGACAATAATGATACTTGTAATGTAAGTCAGTATAGCAACAATAGAATAACAATAGAAACAACTGTCGCAACAGTAACAAGAATGATCACTAATCAGAACAGCAATAGAATAAACAAAAATAGCTACTATAATAAGAAGAAGTATATTAAGAATGGGTTTAGGCTTGTGGGATTCAGGAGTGAGGCCGTCTTTGAGATTGAAAGGTTTGGAGGTTCGGGATGGCTTGGGATGCCTTGGATCTAGGATTAGCGCATGAGTCAAGGGCTCGCGGTTTTGAGTTGAAGGTTCGTGTTTCAGATTAGGGTTTAGGGTTTAGGGTTTAGGGTTTAGGGTTTAGGGTTTAGGGTTTAGGGCTTTAGTCAAGGTGTCGATGGGCTGTCTTGGTGAGGACTTGGACGGGAAACCTAGACGAGAGTGTCAGGTATCTTGCCAAACACCACGTCACGTCTCATCACGTTGGTGGCTGTGGTACCAGGGCTAATCATTGGGAGCTGTCGTGGCGAAGGCTTTTGCAGGGTTGAATCGGCTCCTGCAAGGCATCTTCCCTACATCGATGCGTCATTTTAAACCAAGTCTTAATCCTTCGTTTGCACCGCCAGCCCAACACACACACACACACACACACACAGATGGTCCCCTTGAACAAACCTCATGAACCCTGAAACCGAAAACGTGCCTTCCAGTATCAACAACAAGATCCCTAGAACTGGCATTCCGAGCGTTATACTCGGCGGAAGTCTCCCTAAGGCGCTAAGGCTTGCTACCTGCTACCATGTCGCACCGTCTTCCAGACAGACTCTTGCCAATTCTCTATCATCCCCGACATGTTGGAAGTTTATCGACAGGAAATGTGGGCCTGCAGCTGCTGGCAATCCATCTGCACCCGCACAGCTTCCTTAGGCAGCAGGCTTAGCATGAAGTCTGGCTGACACTCTCAGACGGTTTAGGGTTTAGGGTTTAGGGTTTCGGGTTTAGGGTCAGCGTGTGATCTGACGAGCTTCGGCATGCTCCGCAAGGGCTTTCTTTGTCTCAGCAACGTCCTGGCGATTGCATCGTTACTCAGTGTCGCCCGCATAACTTGGGTAGTCATCAAAATTATGGTCCCTTTTGGGGTACCCTAAATAATAGGTGCCGTATTATAATAAGGACCCAAAAAGAGACCATAATTTTGACAACCACCCACTTAGCAAACTGCTCTGGCACTCCGAGGTCCTGCGTCACTCTGAAGGCTTTACGCTTGAATTCCCGCCAATCGATGCTTGCAGAACCTTGAGATTCACCATGTGCACGTGCTGTATCCACCAAACGCATGCCCCCGTCTCTGCAAGCCGCACAGTGGACTTTCAAGCATCTGCATCTCAATCCCTTGGTGCCAAAGCTGCTGCTCCCTTCATCCGCAGCGGCGATGCTTCGCAGAAGCCGCTGATGCCACGCGAAAAGCCAGTCGAAGTGCTCAGCCTCTTGCGACTCCTGGGCTCGATACCACATGGTTCGTCTTGTCGACCTTTCGTTTAAGGATTCCCTCTGTTAGTCTAGCTCCGAAATGGTATGAGATCATCCGGAATGTAGGAATCCCCCCAATAGGAGGCCAGATTTCAGGAAGGCACCCCAACTTCAGCTGAGTTGCCAGAAGGGATGCCTGAGTTGCATCTCACTTCTCGCGCTGCGGCTCTGAGCTTACGAGTTTCTGTGGCATTCTTTGGCTCGAGGGCCCGATCCTCCGGACTTCCTGACCTCTTCCCTTTTAGGATTGAAATCACTACCGACAAGACAGGCTGGAGAGGTCAAACAAAAACACGGCAAGGTGCATACTCCTCTGCGAGCTGCAGCAGATTTTGGCGGACCCGACCAAGATTCTCCTGACAAGGCCGGCGTGGAAGATCCTGTCCGTTCGTTCACAGAGACCCCATTGATCGTCCTCGTGTCTGGCGAAATCTGCTTTGTAGCGCTCAGAGCAGTGGTCGTCTCGGACGGCCGTCTTGAAGCCCTTACTTGCACTAAGCCATGAAGTGCAGGGGGGTTGTTTAAGAGCGGCTAAAGAGCAGATGAGCTGATCTGACACGGGATGTGCGCCTTGCACATAACCGAAGAGGACGCCGTCGCACGTTTGGCCTTGTATCTTGTTGACGGCTGGGGACTAAAACAGCTCTTGGACTTGTAAAGCAGAGAGGCATCGCAGTATGCTGGGCAGGAGGCAGGAGGTGAGGTGAGACACGGGCAGGTCGAGCAAAGCTTTCCGACATGCCCAGAGCTGAGAAGCAAACTGCGGCGGCGGTGCTCCTGGAAAATCGAGCCACTCACAAGTACTGCTCTCGCGGGCTCCATCCGAAACCACCGCGTAGTTGCAAGCTTTCACTGACCAAAGATGCTGTCGGGGGCCTTGCCCCGTCGTGCCTGGTTGATCGCATGCTGCTCTTGTCAGCTGCAGATCATTGCCAGGTTCATGCTTGTTGTGTTATAAGTTATAAGTTCTAAGGCTCTAGGACCTACTGCAGAGAGGCTCTCTCCATGCCCGTCTGTAAAGAACATGCCCCCTGGCTTGCGAAACTTTTGATCAAGCAACGGCTGAGAAAGACATCTATATCTATGTGGATTCGAAGGTCGGATGGGCGCAAGAGCATGGAGTCACCAAGGACGTGCGACCGTTTTCGCCCTGGCCACCGCTTTTTGCTGTCCCCTCTTCTCTTCGCAAGCTTGGTGGCACGAGGCATTGCCAGCAACACTGCTCCTGAGGGGACTCTCAAGAAACAAGCGACGAAGCTTGACGAGAGGATTGCACAAGTGTCGCACGCCTGCTGCTCCCCGCGCCGCAGTGGAGATGCGAAGGCGTTGGCCTCCGGAGGCCAGCCGGGTGGCTCCCAGCCTCGCACAGGTGCCGGGAGCTTAGGGTTTAGGGTTTAGGGTTTAGGGAGTTGGGTCCCGAGAGCAATGACAATGCAGCTTGGCCGCACATGGGGTCGCACCCAAACTCTTCCAAGAGAGTGTGTTGATCCTGCAGATGTTTTGGCGCGGACACGAGTGGAAGGATTTGATGCGCAAGTCACCAGTGCAGAGCTTGTCCTCTTCGGCCTCTTCGTGGCTGTAACTCGTGGCCTTCGCTCCCGCTGCTAGCAACTCAGACTCAGTCGTCTACCCCGCGAGGATCTGCGGAGGCGGAGGTGGCCGAGGTGCCGACGAGGAAGGGCGCCTTCAGCTCCAGGACCCGGCGAATGCTGGGCTCCCAGCTGCCGTAGCCTCGGAGAGAGGGAACATCCCATCCAAGAGAACCCTAAACCCTAAACCCTAAACCCTAAACCCTAGGCCCCAAGAGAAGGCCCTGTGAAGGTCGAGGCGCCGTAGAAGCCGGGCTGGAAGGCGCAGACGAGGTCCGGCTCCCAGCGAGGCTCGAAACTGACCTCAAGAAGGCGAACCTTCAGACTTCAAGATCAAGACCCGAATCAGTCCGGGCCAAAAACCTCGTGGTAGAGACCTTGTCGGTGTCGGGTCTCCAGCCTAGCAGGATGCTCCATGACTCTTCGTCGCATCCTTCCAAACAAGATTGAAGAAACACTGCCGGGCGGCAAAAGGCCCGTGGGCAAGCGGGTCTCATCATCAGCAGCCACTGACCTGGGAAGGAGAACAGCACAGAAACAGAACCGAAAACACAACACCCCTGAGCTGCAGAGTACCCGGCTTGTCCGACGGCCCCAGGGCAGTGGGGCCAACGAGGAGCATCTGAACCTCGTGGCTTGAGCATGGACAGGTTCCGAAGTGACTTTGCTGTGGGGTCTCCTTGTCGAGCTCTTTGTCTTTGAGTACGGAGAAAAGCGGGGCGAAGACGGCTGACGTAGCGATCAGGTCGCTGCCCTCCTCCCGGAAGCTGGCACCTCTGCTCGACTTCGCGGCTTTGGGGCACCGAAGGCGTCTTTTTGCGCGTTCTTCCAAGCTGCCCAGGACGTGGATCGTCAGCCGTCTCTCGGCGCAGGCTGGTATACCGAGGCGGCCCAAGGCTGCCGTGAGCGTCAGCGCCCGGGAGGCAGAGTGGCGCCTCTCTTCTCGCTTGGCTGAAGCTCTCTAGAAGGGACCAGGCCAGAAGGACATGAGCAGCAAAGAGGGCTGAGACAGCTGGGTGGTTGTCAAAATTATGGTCCCTTTTTGGGTCCTTATTATAATACGGCACCTATTATTTAGGGTACCCCAAAAGGGACCATAATTTTGACAACTACCCAGCTGACCACACGGTCTATTGAGGATTAGATGGGGAAGGGAGGGGGAAGGGGCAATCTCTGGCCAAGGTGCTCAATGGGCAGATCGCTCTGCCAATGCACCGGAAGCTCCATGGAGGGTCACATGCGGCCACAGTATGCAGGATAGGCATGGGGGCAAGGCCTCACTTCCTAAAGAAGAACTTCCGATGCGATATCATGGCAAGCTGCAGCTGCAAAGAAGAACTTGAGCCAAGCCGGGCAAGTCAAATTGAAGCTGGCGATCTCAGGAATCTCAAGCTATCCAACTACATCCGACGGCTCTGCCTTGATCGCTGGCTTTTACTTAGGAAGCAAATCATCAGGTTTAATGAAGCAGATCGAACCATGGAGCTGCTTTGGCAAACGGCAAAGCCCTGCGGCTGTCGTTGCGCGACCCAGGCGCGGCCCTCGTCCAACCAAACCCCAGAGCTAGGGTCATCAGTATGTCATCAGTAGCAGAGTCTTGTGGGCAGTGGTGTCGTTCACAGTAGGATTCGTCTACTTTCTGGCAGCTATGCGAATTTCGTTGCGTAACTTAAGAGATGCTGCGCCTCCGCCCACTCCCACAAGCCTTCTACGCCCACAAAGGCCGTGTAGGCTTGCAGCATACTCAACTCCAGAGCGCCAGCCTTCTGCAAGTCTTCTTCAAAGGATTAGGGCCCTTAGGGTGCAGATTTTCCGGCAGCGCTGCAGGCTCTTTGTCCGGAAGGCAGCGAGCAGCGCCAGGGCCTTCCAGCATTCGACTTCGCTGACAGCACGACCCTCGCACAGCACCGCTGAGCAGCCGGTAGCACTGAAATTATCCGACTTCCCCGGCCTCTACCGGGCGCTTGGCGGAACCTCAGGCTCAAGCACCGAAATTCACTGCTCCGTCCCCTCTTCCTGCCCGAATGGGCAAGAGTTCAGTTCTCAGTGGTAGCAGAGAGGGCGGATGTGTGCTGCCAACTGGGGCAGGGTCTGCAGCATTCGACCAGTCCGCTCAGAGCCGTGACCTGGAGCGAGGTATCGAACTGAGGAACATCCTATGGCTCTATGGATGAAGCGGTCGCGAATGTTCTTTTACCACGCGATTAAGTCTGTGTCCAAAGTCTTCTCTGATTCCTCAAACATCCAGAAAAAGCAGCCTCCGGAGCCATGTGGCAGCCCTGCATACAAGAGTAGAGGGCCAGCGCTGTAGCCTTAGCAACTGTGGTGTTTCAGCTTGTCTTCCGACGCGAGGTCAACGGATTCACCGTGAGTGAGCAAGTGAGAAAGCACGGAAGGGAGTCAGCAAGCAAGCAAGCAAGCAAGCTAGCAAGCAAGGAGTAGCTGCGCGTGGCAATGGTAGACAAAGCAAGCAAGCAACCAACCAATCAACCAATCAAGCAAGCAAGCACGCAGGCAAGCAAGCAAGCAAGCAAGCAAGCATGCAAGCAAGCAAGCATGCAGGCAGGCAAGCAAGCAACCACGCAGGCAGGCAAGCAAGCATGCAGGCAAGCAAGCTTGCAAGCAAACAAGCATGCGTTCACTCTGTATTTATGCGGGCGTTGCAGATGCTGGGGCTCCAGCCCAGGAGACAGCCGACGTGCATGCGGTCAGTGCCGCGTTGTAAGCAACGACTGGCGGCCTGAAAGACGCAGCTGGGAGACTGTCAAGGAGCTGCAAAGCTCTCACAGTCTCTCGGAATGTGCACAACCTGATGCTCACAGGCACCGAGGGTCTGGCTCCAACTGCTCCATGGACATCTCATGCAACAGGACGAGAACAAGCTCCCAGCGGCTGCCTTGAAGTGGGCTTTGGGGGATTGGCAGGGTCACGACGATTTTGCCATCTGGCGACGCACGAATCCAGGTGCGGCGCCGCTGGCACAGGCAGCAATTGCCGTTGCGAAAGCGACGATGTCCGGCGTGGCCCCTTGACATTATGATGTCCCAGCTGCTAAGAACATGATGAACTTTCTTGTGATTCTGGTAGAAGAAGACGGAGGCATAACGAAATTTCCGCAACCGTGCGTTTCAACCCAGAACTGTCTGTCACAAACATTCAACTTGACCTATGTAGGAGCTGCAATGCTACAACAGCTTCTCGACTTCTGCAGGCTCTCAAACCTCGTGTTCTGACCTCCAGCGGTCCAAACAGTTGAGAGCCTGGTAAGACTTAAACCGAGCTGGCGGGCGTTGGAGAACTTTTGGGATTTAGGCCAGTTGGGTTGACGGTCAATCAAAATGCTTTGCGACGTTCAACATTGGTGCTAAATTATGCTGAATAGCTGCTTGTTTCTTTGGTGCAATTTGACTTACTTAAACTTCGTAGACCTGCGAAGTGCACCATGCACCGACTGACCAATGGGTCATCAATTAGTCAACTCTTTAGCCGTTCGTTGACTTGTACACATATGCAACATGACAGGCTAGGGAGGCTCCTGGTGTTGAACAGGAGCATGATAGACGGGACCCTAAACCCTAAACCCTCAACCCTGAACCCCAAACATAGTCCAGAAAGCGAAGCTCCGGCATGCGCACTGGAATTGACTCAAGAGCGAAGAACTCGAGCCTTCTGCAAAAGCACGGAGAGCCTTGCAGTGGGGCAACCGGCGTTTAAGCAAAACCTGTCCGTCTATCAAACACTCCAGATCTGCAGGAGACGCAGGTGTTGGTCTATGCATGCATCAGCATGGACAAGTGGGGCAGCGGACAACCACGGAGAGAGGGAGAGGGAAGTCAGCTTGCACGCTTATGTGGGTATGGTAGGTAGGCAGGCAGGCAGGCAGGCAGGTGGCTGGGGGTATCGTCATATAAGCTCGTCTTTGTGATATATTGTGTGTGCGCAGAGTCTCGTGTTGAATTGTTGGAAGTGCGTGTTCGGGTCTACCGAACAAATGATCACACATGTAGTGACCCTGCAAGTACTCTCAGCTTCGACAGAACTAGGAAGCAATCCAACTCACAGAGAAAGGCCTGTGCCTGTCAATACCGAGCATCTAGGCCTTCACCAGAGGTTGTGGCAATTTTCATTCGTCGTACTCAGTCCCACGTTTGTGGATCTCATGAAAGCCGGCACACACCTTCGGTGTCTGAGCAGCGTGGATTGATGATGCCGTACTGCAGGTTTCGGTGCAGGAGCCATGGTGTGACACTTGCATGTTGCAATGCAATCACTGCTCAATCATTCTTGAGAGGATGTTTCTCGAGGCTGGTAAACCGTCCTGCATCGGTACTACACCCGAAGCACAGTCGGAGTACCCGCATTAATTTGCATGGAAAACGTCACACGTATGCCACGCTCCGGACTGTCCGCGCCAGCCCACTCTAAGTTTGCACTGAAGCTACAGGTGCTCTTCCTGCCGACCCTTCAACGACAGTCTTTTATTGAATTGTCTTGGGAAGGCTGCAAAACAGAGAGGTAGCAAATACTTGGTCCAGTTCGGCGCTCTCGTGGTACTACATTAGATCTCAGCTCCCTGAATCAAGAAGTCTATCATCATTACTAGTACCCCGAAACACCAACGTACCAGGAGCTTTTGTGTCATCTGAGAGCTGCTCTTCTTGCGAATTTGATACTTTGCACATCAACGGAGCCCTTACAGAACCCTTTAAGGAACCTGGAAAAGGAACCCCTAAAAGGACCCTATTCTCAACATTAAGGAGGGTCTAAGGCTGCTAGTTCGCGGCCCGCAGAACACAATGGCACTTGATTCCGGAAAGCTTCTTCGGAGGCTGATCTATAATACATGAGAGCGAAGGGGCTCCATAAACAAACCAAGAACGCCGCATAGTTGTTTACAAGGGTATGCTACGACAAGTAAACACGTGTCCATAAATCATCATCTCCGCATCCGCGAGTATGCATCACCAATAGGTTCGGGCGTGCAGGGCAGTCTTCGGCGCGGCAGATTTGATGCACCTATAGTGCACGCTGCAGTCAGCTGCCGTCATGGCTGTGGGAATTCCTTGTGGCCTGAGTTGAAGAAGCCCGCGGCACCCACAAGTGTGGGTTGATGACAGCAACTGAGGCCCCTGTGCTTACAGCCTGGACCTCTCTAGTTCAAAAAGCAGAGGTGAAGCTCTCCCTTCATGACGAGAGCTTGCATAGATCGTTCCTAACCATACTTGTGTATCTTAAGCTACTATCCTAGCACGTATTACTTATCTGCAACTGTTATGTAGGTTAGATGGAGGTTGGGGCGTCTGTGGCAAGGCCCTTATCAAGGCCTCCGTGCGAAACGTCAAAGCTGCGTCGGGACGCTCACTTCCTCACGCTTACGAATTACGAAGACGAAGAGGACGGTTGGAAGATCTTGCTCGAGAAACTACCGAGCTTCAGGATTTCCGGGTTGAATCGCATCTCGTAGCGTCGAGCAAGATCGGGGAAGGCGTCCTCAGGTGCCAAGCGGGGCAGTGATCCAGTTTCCACAGGGTCCAGAGCACATTTTGCGGACAAGGCTCGTAAGCGATGTGCCTGGGCGGAACGGACAACACTGACAGAAACTACACATCAAGAGTCCACAGCTGTGCTTCCGGCTGACTACGTACGAGATACCGCTCACAAGAAACACCCACGTGTTCTAGTATCGTGCATATAGATACATAGACACCTGGTATGAACATGTCTGGCAACATAGTGTTGTGGGACGATTAGGTTAGCTAGTCACCTGGACGGATCTCGAGACAAGGACTGCGAAGGCCGTCATTCGACATACAGTGAGACCCGGCCCCCAAATAAGTTATCCCTACATCGCCCTACATTCTTCAGCCCGGAAGCTCGAGGAGCTGTTTGTCGCCCGCCAAATCAGTTGGACGCCCTTTGAAGAGGCGAGTGACCTTGCGGAGAAACCTACCAGTCTAGGCTTGCAGGGCTCGCATCATGTCTGTCTCCATCTTATTCCGTCTCTCTCTACTGTGCTCTTCTGCTTGGCTGTGCGAAGAACACAGTTTCAGCACCGGAATGTTCATGTTCTGCCAAACAGATTTCTTGATGCCAGGCGGCACCCTCCTCCTGGGCTCGCACGTCGTCCTTGAGCTGTTTCACAAAAGCCTGACGTGAATTTGTCCAGTTCTGCCCCCCTCCCTCTGGACTCTTCGCAAGCAGAGCCCTGCTTGACAATGCGTACGATATCCTGCGATGCTACGTCGCGAGGGCAATAGGAGAGAACATATCGTCCAACCGAATCGAAAATGGGAGCGGTCCTTGTCTAAAGAACGACCGGTTTTCGTGCAATCCTCACTTACATTAGCTGCTATCCAAGGCGCCTGTTTGTAGATGGTACTTCCTTTCGCAAAATTCTATGACGGCAGGTCATGACTGGGAAACTCTGCGGAGCTTGGCATCTCATGTCGGGAACTCCGCTGATTCCCTTGCTGGCACGGGCACCTCGCTGAATCTCGTTTCTACAGCCTAGCAAGCTGTTCTGGACCCTCGTCGCAGTCCTAAGTATGGACTCGGCGATTTCAGAGCGACCATCTGGAAGACTTCCACGTTCAGAATCAGGAACCTGCACAACGAACAGCCGATTGATGCTCACCAACTCCGTGCGCTTCAGATGACTGCACCACTCTTTGGCCACGCAGCTCCGATGGTGTTTTTGCCCGGAGCCATCCAAAGTGCACCCAGTTGTCCTCGGCATTCCGGAATTTCACTTGGCTCGCACACATGTATGCACGTACGCGCGCACGCACGAGGCAGGCGGGCGGGTGGGTGGGCGGGCACGCACGCACGCATGCGTGCACGCACGCACGGATGGATGGAAGGCAATGGATGGCAATCAATGGATGGCAATCAATGGATGGCAATGGATGGATGGGTGGATATCTCTATACACGTGTGTATGCGCGCATGTGTAAAAATATATATATTTATATACCGCGCCAGGACGAAAGTTTGTCGCATCGGACAGTTCTGTCAACATCTACTTGTAAACCCCTTCCCCCGTAGACTCCTTCACGAAGTCTGGAGTTGAGGCCCGGGCGTCAGCAATTCCTCCCTTTGAACAAGATGGGGGTTCCCGAAAATAGGGGACCCTAATATAGTGCCCTAAATAATAGGATCCTTATTATAAGGACCCCAAAATAAGGTACCCCTTGTTTTCGGAAACTCCCAGATAGTAATGTATGTTTGTTCCAGCAAAGAAATTCCTCCGCTGGCCAGGCCACGTAAAATGCACTTGCTGGTACTCGGAGTCCTCTGCCAAGCAACAACATCTTAGTGCGACAAAACTTTCATCCTGCTGATGGATAATATATCTATGTACATACATATATAAATATATTGATATAGATATGTGTGTGTACACATATTTATATACATACAAATCTCTTCACCACTCTCGGCGCGTGCGTTACATTCATCTGTGTTTAATTACACCTTATTTTACATGCACACTTGCCTTGTCCTGATTTCTCCATGTCACGAGGATGTTGCTGTCGCTCATCCCTTGCTGGTTTAGTATACAGAAATGCATCCTGGGTTCGAACCACAGAGCACCCTCTGCGACCCACCTGGGATCAAGAGCATGTTTGAGAGCTTGAGATTGCTGATTTAAGCTTACGGCTACTTGTGATCGATGGCAAGCTGGTACGGACTCAATGAAAGCACTCAAGTCACAATCTACAAATCCTCAACTGGAACATGGAAACAGAAACCAGAGAAAGACCCCGCTCCGAGCTTTCACTGCTTCTTCCCTGGATTGCAGTACGAGCCGCTCGCCGGCGTGAACGTCGATTGCTCCGCTCACCGACCGTCGAGCTTGGGGTCGCTGGAAGTAATACTGCAGCTGACCACTTATGCAATAGTACCTCAGCTAGGGTTTTGGGGTTTAGGGTTTAGGGTTTAGGGTTCAGGGACCTCAGCTCTCTCTCTCTCCAAGAAGACAGGAAGGTCTTGGGCATCCACATGTGCTACACTCTCGACACTTCTGGAACAGTCCTACCCGAGAGTGTTTAGTCACACATAGGAAAACAGCGGGGGTTGTGGGAAGAGTCGATGCGCGCAACAGTGGATTCTCAGCCACGTGACGCATGAGCAGCTTTCTCTGCCCGGTTGAACACGTCTTCCATCGGAGGCACTCCACGAAACTCAAGTCCTGGCACTCGCACGAGACAATGAAACATCCGGCTATCTTGCTTGGAATATCTTGGAGGGTCTGGAGTCTAGACCCATCGACTCCCGGCTGCAAAAAAATCGTCAGATTGGCCTTCGGAAAATCTTCGAAAGAAGGCCCCCTGCCTCGATCACAGAGGCGGCTGATCACGTGCGGGTCAGCCAGCTCGAGTCCTGCGTACTTCCACGGTACTACACTGCGGGGTCCTGGGGCCTTGAGAATACTGGCAATGCGACTGCGACGGCAACCACGACGACGACTACTACGACCAGTACGGCGACGACGGCTACTACTACTGCTCACTGCTCCTACTACTGCCATTACTACAACTACGACAAATATCTGCTGCTATGTTACCCGGGTTGCAGGGGTAACCTGCAAGGCTGGCACAGCAGAGGAGTCCTTGAAATAAAGGATGCGACTGAAGGTGAGGGATAAACATATCCTGAGTCTGCATAAATCTCCGAGGTTTCAGCAAA